AATGTGACATTTTACAATGATATCACTTCAATTGTGATTAATGATATCACTGTTACCTTCCAATAATCTCACAATGACATCACAGTGACATTACATTTTTTTGTCACCTTGTGACTCTATTGTGAGCTTATTGTGATGTCACTGTGACATTTTTTGCTATGGGGGATATAATTAACTTATAAGATACATAATAACACAAATCGCTAACACAACTAATATGGTCAGTGCTGTTAATGTGGGCAATAAGAAGTTTTAGTAATATATATAAGTTATCATCTAATTGCATTCATTTATCGCTAAATAATTTTAATACAAGCCAACATTTTAATATAAAAATATTAATTTCTCTTTGATTTTAACGTAAAAATAAAAAATTCATGAATACACTAAATACACAAGTAACTATTATTGTGATACTTAAAAAATGATAAAACTTATTGACGTTGTTGCTTTGCCTGTAAAAAATAAAAGTAATAATAAATATGTTGTTATATCGAAAACTAAAATATACAAGTAAAACGTAAAACATACTAGTTCTCTGTCGTAGCGCGTTTTTGAGTGCCTTAACCAAGCTGACACATAGTTCTGAAATTGTTTATCTGTCAAAAATGGAAAGTGTTTTCTAGTCGATCCTACAAATGTAACAAAAAAAAAGTTAATATAGTACCGGTACAATTATTATGCTAATAAAAGCATTAATTTTTTATAATTATATATTTTTACATTTCTATATACGTTTTAAAATGTCCATAATTATTAGTGTGTTCACTTCGAAGTTGCCTTTGCGACCCATCCAAGAACATTTTGTACCCAATTTATTAGTAAATATTTTTTCTAGTCCAGCTTTTATTTGATCGTGGGGAGAAGTGCCTCCTAATAAATAGACAAATGTTTCCTACGAAAAAAATGTAAATACATATATATATATATATACAATTGTTCGAGCCTTTTCTGGTAAATATTGAGCATCCTTTTTGTCTATTTTAATTTCAATTAAAGTCAGTTAGTCAGAAGGAAAAAGGGTTAAATATATATTTTTTAAAAATAGATATCAGTAGTTTTGGCATATTCAACAATGGTACAATGAAATTATAATGAATGTTATAAAATAATCCTAGTTTAATTAAGCTTGAACAATCAAAATTGCTTTTGAAAGCAATTTCTTTCTAACCATTTACATTATTTTACCAGCTCGAACCTTGAATTTTGTCTCAAATATTCAAAAAACAAGAAATAAGAAATGTAGACTATTTTTACCATTTGTTTTTGTCCTTCCTCATTAGTTTTTAATGCGATGTCGAAATCAAGTAATTTTGTAAATTTCTTGAAAGGTTTGTTCGGAATAAGAGAAAAAGTACTACTACAGCTTGAACCAGATGCTGAGAGCAGTGGAAGCGAATTATTTGTACGCTCTAATTGCTTTAAAAATGCATTTTGTTGTTCCAATAATTTTTTAATCGCAATCGTGTTTTGCAGGATTGAAACAATATTCTGAAATATAAATTTACAAATTATATTACTATAAACAAAAGAACAATAAATATGAATGATTACCTGCTGGAAAATTTTCAAAAATGATATCGGTTGGTATCATATTATTTACTGGATTAACAGCATCTTTAGGATCTAAATAATGGAAATTTTTAGTATCATTATTGTATTTATTTAATATTAAATTAATAAATTAATAGACACTATATATATATTAAGCGGGATTACTTAAAATCGACTTGTATTGTTTAATACCTTATTGTACCAAAAATTATTTGTTTATACCTTCATCAGAAGTTACATGGTCTTCAGAGGCAATATTATTCTTTTTATTTTGACTCACGTTTATTGCTGTTTCATCCATATTTTCGATATCCTTGTCCAAGTTTTGGTTATCATCATTAATCAAATCTAAATGTATAAAAAATTACACTATTAAGCATTACTTTATTTGCAAGTTAAAAAAATAATGTTAAAGATTTATAAAAATAATATATATATTTATTTATTGTTATACCATTTGTCAACTGTTCATTTTCTAAATGCAAATCCATGACAGTCATTAACGGAGATGGTGTCATTCGCGGATTTGAATCGTCATCATTTAAGTTGTTTGCTGTAACTGGTTGGAATGTTTTCTTTTTTCTTTTCCCTCGGCCTAATTGCGAACATGATGTATCTGATGTATCGGTTCGAATTTTTTTATGTACAACATCTATAGCTTCCTTATATGAATCTGTAATTACAAATTATTTTATTAATTGTCTATATATATACATACATTTGTATTACATGATAATATAAAACTTTTCCATGTATTCATAAATATTGTATTTTATAATTTGAATATTAAATAGAATATTCGTCATTTCGCAATATCAACACATAATTTTTTTATATATTATTTTTACTATCAATATATTTATGACACATACTTACTACTTTGTAAAAAACAGCTGAAAATAAACAATTGTCGGTGTCGGGGTTCCGCCGTAATATATATTTCCTAACATTTTTTTCCGGCCATTTACACATTATTTGATCATTTGTAAATGTCATCCATGAGGTTGGTACAACTTCTACAGCGTTTGATTGCCTTCTTATTGATAAATTCAATCACTGACCAATTACTGCAAAGCTATCAACCATTTAATTTTCAATTACGCAAAATTATTGGCGCGTCACACGAAGTGACATCACGATCCGGAAAAAATAAAAAAGCGCTATATCCCCGCTCAGCAAAAATAGTTCTTTATAATAATAAAAAATATAATCTTCTCAAAAATTATGTGATAAACCGCAAAATTCGTTGACAAAAATTAATCCGCACTTTGATTTTTGATTCCGATTTCACTGTAAAAATAATTAATTTTTGTAATAAGTTGTTATAGTATTTTGTCAATACGTGTGTGATATTATTAAATCTTTGTTTTACAAAAAAAGTGACTCAGCCTTTGTGCAGCGCAATCCTTGCTCACGCAGCGCGTTCGTGAACATATTTTGGTCCTTCGAGCCGGATCCGTCGCACCGGCAACCGCAAGTTCGTGAGCGTGTCTTCTCGCGTGAGTGACAATAGTGCAGTTTCGTGTGCAGTCATCATGGATGTACCCACGCTGGTTGATTGTCAGCGTGAGCTTCAAGTCCGCATCTCACGTTCTGTGGAGTACTTGAAGAAGCTGGGCAGCTCCAATATCACCGCCAGCGCTATCTCCACACGCACCAGAATTCTGGATCAGCTGTGGACAAAGTTCGAGGCGCAGCATGACCTTATCCGGGCGGCCTTGAAGGAAAAGTTCAGTGAGAGCGAGTACTTTAAATCAGAGTTGCATGCTGATACGGAGAATCTCTACGTGTCACAAAGAAGCATACTAGACAGCTACGCTGAACACTTTCGTGCAGCAAACGTACCTCCTTCTGCCGACGCCACGTCAAGGTCATCACTGCCGCGTATCAAAGTGCCGCCATTTTCTGGTGCCTACGCCGATTGGCCGTCGTTCCGAGATCTCTTTCTCTCCGTCGTGAGTGGCAATGCGATCTCCAACATCGAGCGCTTTCACCACCTGCGCTCATGTCTGACGGGGCAAGCTGAAAGGTTAATAAGGTCATTGCCTGTCACCAGCGACAATTACGATCGCGCTTGGGCGATTCTGGACAAACACTACAACAACAAAAAGGAATTGATCCGCTCCAACTTCGCCACGTTCATCGCCGTGCCGAAGATGAAGGGAGATACCGCAGAAGAATTGAGACGCATTCACAACGCCGTTACTGCCGCCGTCAATGGTCAGGAGAGCATCGGACGTCCAATCAACACCCACGGAATGGACCTCTTCAACTTCCTGGTCACCGAGCTGTTTGATGCACGCACACGTCTTGAGTGGGAGTCGTCCACGTCAGACTCATCAGAGCCGGCACAAAACGAGGCACTTGTGGACTTCATCAGCCGCCGGATCCTGACGCTCAACGCCGCACGACCGAAGAGCGCCAGCAAACCGCCCGGAGATGCTCCACGGGTAGCCAAGGCACACGTCACGAAGCACCAAGGAACCGAGTCGCCGCACTGTGCACTGTGTCGCGAGAAGCACACCTTGATGACCTGCCGAGATTTCAAGGCCAAGACTGTCAACGACCGCAAGGCATTTGTCGAGAGTAACAGGCTCTGTTACAATTGCTTAGGCAACCATTTTCTCTCTCGCTGCCAGTCAAAGAAGAACTGTCTGACATGCGACGCACGACACCACACGATGTTACACGGAGCACCCACATCGTCAGCGTCAACTGAAGCCACACGCGCCACCACACTGACCGCTACGCTGCAAAATCCAGAGTGCAAGGCCGTTCTTCTTGCAACAGCACGAATAAACGTCGCCGATCGGTACGGATCACCACAAGCCGTACGCGCCTTGATCGACCAATGTTCTGAGGTGTCGATCATTTCGGAGACCTTGGCACAACGTCTTCGCCTTCCTCGAGTCTCAACGGGCCTCTCCATTTTCGGCATCGGAGGGACTCGCTCGGGATCCGCTCGTGGCAAGGTCACGCTGCACGTAACGTCAGACGTGACCAACGCCAAACTCAGCGTGGTGGCCTTTGTGCTGCCCCGCATATCGCTGCAGCAAGGCTCGGTTTCGCGGGAAGAACGCAGCTGGCCTCATCTCAACGGACTCCAACTGGCCGATCCTCGCTTCTTAGACGACGACCCAGCTGAGCTGCTACTGGGAGCCGAGGTCTATTCCTTGATCCTCGAGGAAGGCCTCCGCAAGGGTGAATCAAGGATGCCGATCGCTCAGCAAACCAGCCTGGGATGGATCCTTTCTGGCGGCTACGACGCAGCAGCAGTCACGGGACATCGCCGCACCTTCCGGTGCACCGCCGATCATGACCTCGCCGACTTCGTTCGACGCTTTTGGGAGCAGGAGAGCGAGCCGATAACTCGGGCTTCACTCACTCCCGACGAACCACGTGCGAGGAACTTTACGTGCGCACCGTCACACGCACGCCCACCGGGAGATACATGGTGAGGCTGCCCTTCTCATCGCCGCCGACGACTCTTCAGGATACTCGCCGCCCAGCGGAGCACCTACTGAAAGCCATGGAGACCAAGGGCAGCCGAGATCTTCGCTTTGGCGACCTCTATCACGGCTTCATGCAGGAATACGAGGACCTGCAACACATGAAGAAAGTAATACCTCAACAACAACGGAGAATTTCAGATGCTACTTACCGCATCACGGGGTCCTGAAGGAATCGAGCACGACGACAAAGCTCCGAGTCGTGTTCAACGGCTCTCAGCGCACACGGGCCGGTACTTCGCTCAACTCGCAGCTGCTGACTGGGGCAAACCTTCTGCCAGCGCTCACCGACGTGTTGCTGCGATGGCGTTGGCACCGGTACGTCTTCGTCACCGACATCGAGAAGATGTACCGCCAAATCCTCGTACATCCTGAGGACTGCCGTCTCCAAACAATCTTGTGGCGTCACAACAAGACGGACGAGATCGGAGAGTACGAGCTGCAGACGGTGACCTACGGCATGGCGTGTGCACCGTTCCTGGCCATCCGAACTCTGCAACAACTTTGTGCGGACGAGGGAGCGCAGTTTCCTCAAGGTGCCACAGTACTTCGGCTTGATTGCTACGTCGACGACGTGGTCACCGGCGCGGACAACCTCGACGATGCCGTCAACCTCCAGACGGAGCTGCGCAACCTCTGCATGGCGGGCGGATTTCCACTGAGGAAGTGGGCCTCGAACCATCCAGAGGTCCTCACAGGAGTCCCACAGGAGCATCGGCTGCAGCAAGGACCACATTCCTGGGAAGGAGAGAGCCATTCGACATTGGGCCTGCGATGGCGTCCTCAAGATGACCGGTTTGCCTTCGCAATACATCCTCGGCCAGTCAGCAAATTCACGAAGCGACGAGTCCTCTCCGAAACTGCACGCCTATTCGACCCGATGGGCTGGCTCGCGCCTGTCGTCATTCGGGCGAAGATCCTAATCCAAAGCACCTGGCTTCAGCAACTTGATTGGGACGCTCCACTGCCGGCCAAGGATGCTCGACATTGGCAACAGCTGTTGGATCAGTTGCCGCTGCTCAGGCACATACGCGTGAATCGCTGGCTCAGCACCGACAACGATCACTCGAGGTTGCAGCTCCACGGTTTTGCTGATGCTTCCGAACGAGGATACGCCGCAGTAGTCTACCTCCGCACCACTGAAAGGGGAAAACCGTCAATTAATCTACTCATGGCAAAATCCAAGGTCGCACCCGTCAAGCAGGTTTCGTTGCCGCGACTTGAGTTGTGCGCTGCTAGCCTACTCACCACGCTCACGCTGCATGTCCGCGACATTCTCGGCTTGGCAACTACTCCAGTATATCTGTGGTCCGATTCCCAGGTCACGCTTCATTGGATCCAGGGACACGCCACTCGCTGGAAAACTTTCGTCGCCAACCGGGTAGCTCATATCCAGACACAGCTCCCGGACGCTCGATGGAGACACGTAGCCGGGAAGAATAATCCTGCAGACTGCGCATCGAGAGGAATTACTCCTGGAGAATTAATCAACCACGCATTATGGTGGACGGGACCTACCTGGTTGGCACTGGACGAGACAGCATGGCCCAGCTCAGAGGTCCACATCGCAGAGGATGACCTTCCTGAACAGCGCACCACCAGCCTGATGACCAAGGGCTCCGTCGTCGTCGAACCGGACATCCTTCTTCGGTTCTCTGCGCTTCATCGGCTGCTACGCGTTACGGCTTGGTGTCGTCGATGGCTCAACGTGGCGAGCCGGGAGGTCACACCTGGTTGTCCACTACACCCCGACGAGCTGGACGCCGCCCTACTCCAGTGGCTTCGAGTAGTACAGGCGCTCCACTTCCCGGACGAGATAGCTGCTGCCACCGCAGGACGCTCCGGCCCACCACGCAGTTCACTGATCAAGCTGAATCCGTTCATCGACGACCAAGGTGTACTGCGCGTTGGAGGACGTCTCAAACACGCACTGCTGCCCTACGACGAGAAGCACCCGGTGATCATACCGCCGGCCTCCTGGATGACGCGACTGCTGATCGAGTCCTGCCATCGTCGCTCTCTGCACGGCGGCGTCCAGATGACACTCGGTCTGCTTCGCCTTCGATTCTGGGTACCACGCGGAAGGACCGTCGTCAAGCAGCAACTGCATCGGTGCGTCACTTGCACTCGCTGGCGCGCTGCCACGCCACAGCCTCCAATGGGCCACCTTCCTCGGGACCGAGTGACGCCAACTCGACCTTTCTTGAGCACTGGACTGGACTACGCGGGACCAATTTCCATCCGGACCAGCAAAGGACGCGGACACCGCTCACAGAAAGGATACATCGCGGTCTTCGTCTGCTTTTGGTCGAAGGCCATCCACCTCGAGGTCGTCTCGGATTACAGCTCCGAGGCCTTCATCGCCGCCTTACGCCGCTTCGTCTCTCGCAGAGGACTGTGTACGGACGTCTACAGCGACTGCGGCACAACATTCGTTGGCGCCGATCGCACCCTGCGGGAGCTCTTCAAGGCGTCGACCTCCGAGGGCCTTCACATCGCCCGCGCCGCCAACACTCAAGGGATCCGCTGGCATTTTAATCCGCCAGCGGCCCCTCACTTCGGTGGTCTTTGGGAGGCTGCCGTGAAATCCACGAAATTTCACCTCCGCCGAGTAATCGGCGACACCACGCTCACTTTTGAGGAGCTTAGCACACTCCTCACACAAATCGAGGCGTGTCTTAATTCTCGTCCGTTGCAGGCTCTGTCAGACGATCCAGACGACACTTCAGCACTCACTCCAGGGCACTTCATCATCGGCGCGCCTCTATTAGCTATACCTGAGCCGTCACGGATCGGACAATCATCATCCACGCTGTCACGCTGGCATCACCTGCAGCTGATGCGAGACCATTTTTGCAGCGGTGGTCGGCTGAGTACGTGCACGGGCTCAACCCCCGCACCAAATGGGTCAAGGCCGAGGCCGCACCTCACGTCGGGGACCTTTGCATCATCCGCTCGGAGCTCACCCCTCCGACTCGATGGCCTCTTGCAAGGATCACGAGACTGCATCCCGGGGACGACGGTGTCGTCCGCGTGGTCTCAGTACGCACCGCCACATCCGAATTCGTACGCCCGATCGTTAAATTGGTCATGCTCCCGGGCGCGGATCGTATTCCGGACACGAATAACGCGGACACGCCGTCCGCCGGCACGTAACACATCACTCATCAACGTTCGACACTCATTCACGAGATTTATCACATCATGCACTGTATCATTTGTCACACCTCATTCTCATCATGCACCACCGCACTTGCAATTGTTCCATAATCACCACACTGCACTACACGTTCGTCATTTCACATCAAACACACACTCGTTACTGTCTCAGCTGATCATCACATTCCACGCGATCACCACGTGTTTCCGCGGCTCAGCTGATCGATTCAAATTACACGCGATCATCACGTGAATCTCGCCGCGCCGGCGCGCCTGCCCCACCATCGATCACTATCGACTTGCGATTCCGCGACCGAAATACCACAAACATGTTGTCACTGCGCGACAAGGCGGGCGGGAATGTTTGAAACGCATAATAGAAAACTACATGTGTAATAAAATATTATATCTTAAATAGAATATTCTAGAATATTCGCTTCCGATCGCAAGTCAACAGGCATATCGTTTTTTTTTTTTTTTTTGGAAAACATATCGCGACACAAATTATCCTGTCGTACAAAAACACGCTCGAAATATAAACAATTAACGGTGTCGCAACCGTTCCGCCGAATAATTATATTTTATTGAGCATGCGCGGCTTCTCACGGGCGCCTCGTTTCGCCAATAATCATCGTGATCGCCAGCTCGCGCATGCTTTCTAACAGCCGTTGTTCTGTCAATTTTGACAGCGGCCAATTACGCGTAATACGCTCAGGTCACCTCGCGCAACTTTAAAAAGACGCAAAATTATTGGCGCTTCACACGAAGGTGGGTTCCGCTCCGGAAATTATAAAAGAGGAGCTCACACCCCGCTTGTGAGCTTTATCGCTTTTCCGTCGTGAAAACATATCGCAAACCGCTTATCAGATACACCGCAAAATTCGTTGACGACCGCCGCTATTCCGCACTTTGATTTTGATTCCGATTTCACTGTAAAATAATTAAAGTTTTGTAATAAGTTTGTTATAGTATTTTGTCAATACGTGTGTGATATTATTAAAGTCCTTGTTTTACAAAAAGTGACTCATCCTTTCGTGCAGCGCGATCCTTTGCTCACGCAGCAGCGCGTTCGTGAACAAGTACCTTCTTTTGAACATGGCCTGACCTTTTCATTTTTATGATTTTTTTAGGATATCACTTACTTTTTAAAGTACAGATATATAGAGCAGCTTTTTAGTAATTCAAGTATTACAAATATATGTATTTTCGATTCTTATCACATAACTTTGTATAAGTAACAATTTATGCAATACAGTTCAAAATAATTGAAATATATGGTATATATGTACATATATAAAATATATAATTATATTATAGTATACATATATATTTTATTTAATCATATATGTAAATGTTTGTATAATTGTAATAACTTTTAACGATACATTGCACATTTATTTCAATTGCAACAGAATGAATTTATATTCTTGTATGAATATTGAAAATAAAGAATGGGCCCCTCCATCGCCCATTCTCGTGAGAACGCAACCATATATTTTTCTTCGTCTCTCCGATTTTAACACGACATACATATTTCTGTCTGATAATTTTTTTCTGATGATACTTTTTGAAATGTCATGAAGCCTAGGTCAAATTAGAAACTTATTGCACTCGTTTTAATGCAGCGCTTACAGCAGCTTTTATAAAGCGCCAGAGCAGCCGATATTTTATTTTGGCGCTTACGGCAACTTTTATACAGCGCTAGAACAGTTGATGTTTTAATGTAGCGTTTACGGCAGCCTTTATACAGCGCCATTATTTAATCTGTTCTAAGAACAATATGTATGCCCCTTGTGCTCCTTTGGGCCATTTTTTCTTGAACACTTCCATATCATTAGAGTAATACCATTCCGATTTTGTGTCAGCTCTCAACATACACGTGTAGTGACCACGATTCATTTCTTCACCTTCGTGAAATATAGCGCTTATTAGCTTGTACTTTTTTTTATTAATCGTGATATTACTCGTCGGCACGGCGTTAATCCGATTGTTGATAATTTTTTTAGAAGCACCGTTTACAAAAGTATATAAATTGAGCTGTATTACTACGACGGATAAAGTTGATTCGATTACGGTTTTCTTTTTCAACACGGTGCCCTTACATTCGTTACAATTGCCGTTTATCGTTTCCCATTTAGAAAATTCTACATTAATCAAACTTTGTAGAGTGACACCTTTTTTCCTTTTTAATGTCGAATGTATAGGTAATATTAACAAACTACTGCTTTCCAGCTTAGTTACATTGTAATTACATTTGACATTCGAGCAACATGTTACGTGCTTTAATTCGAGTTTTAATACATCATTGATGTCGGAATACGTCGACATTAGAGCCGTAAAAAATTCCGAAACATCTTGTTGTGTTCGTTCTTCGAAGCGTTTTCCGACAGATCTTCTAACCGCTTGAATGTTGCAATATTTACGTTCACCATACGCGCAGATAGCATCAATCAATGCATTCGATGCTTTATTTTTCAGTATTTGTTGCCTAATACGTACGCAATGAAACGCACATTGTAATATTACATTAGCGTAACACGAAACAGCATCGTTATTGCAAAGGCCATATATTTTCCACGTAACTATACTTTCTGGTTCCTCACAATCATAATTCTGCATATCATCAATGATATTAGGGATATCCCATCGACGATCGTACATTTTCACAACCTTTTTCTCGGACGGATTGATTTGTGGCAGTTCAGATTTGAATATAGATCTCAGTCGATTATATTCTACAATGGCTCTCGAGTTTGCTTTAACTGATGCTGGATTGAAATTTATCAAATGTAGGCCTTCCAATTTACTTACTCGTGACAAACCTACATAGGCTTGACCATCACTGAATACAGTCGTTCCTAAATCCATCATTGCATTGTTACATGTAATTCCTTCGATTATAAATAATTCGACATTCTTTAATTTGTCTCTCAAAGTTTTCAAGACCATGTCTGACAATTGCGTATATTTTGGTGTAGATTCATGACTAACCGGTAGTTGAAACATTCTATGGATTGTCAAGCCATCGATATTGAATGCTGCGATACCCGTGGGAGCAGATATGGCAGTCGTTTTTTCCAAATTTATTCTGATCCAATGTTTAATCGTTTCAATTAGAAAACTTTTCCCTGTACCACCCTCGCCACTTACGTACAGTCGCAGAATCTGATTCTTATCTTGTAAAACTTGGCATACTCCATCAAAGACTCTTTTCTGGTCTTTGTTCAATTGCGACATCATTTGCGATAAATCAATCGGGTCGTCAATCTTACCAAAATCTTCCAGATCTTTCATCGCGTCGTCAGCTTCTATCGGATTACAATCCAGTTCATCGTCATCGGATTTGTCTCTGTCTGCTGTTTTCAGATCATTTTCGCGCTTCTCGATTAATTCAGCAACGTTCTCAAAAGCTTTCTGTATTTCTTCGAGCCTTTCGTGATATTTCATTGCCTTCGTTAAAACAGACTCTGAATTCTTAAAGGCATCCGTGTAAGTCTCGAATGTACCTTTGAGTTCACTCAAATCTCTCCATGGTTTGAACAGAAGAAGCAGCGAGTAAAAGTATTTTTCGGGCTCAGTTTTTATATTAAATCGATAATGGTTAATTAAATAACCCTTTTTTCGTTTTTTTAAAAATAAACCCGATGCCAGTTTGTAACACTTGACTTCGTCATTATTTGACATCTGTTTCGTAATTTCCCAGAATCTGGCAAAATCGTACAAATTCAATGATTCTAATTCCTGAGGTCTATTTGGATAGTAATCATCGATGAGTGACGAACAGTAAATATTCGTAGAATTTTCATCGAGAGCTTAAATTTCATTAAATGTTTTAACTTTTCTATTTCTCACCTCATTAACATCGATCCATTTGACCATGGTATCATTATCCGTACCGTACAAGGGATTCCCTAATAGTGTATCCGCAGCTTCTAAAGCACCGCATTCTCTGTTATTTAATGAACGCATTGCAAAATTCCACAGTTTCGATGCCAAGGACTTATTCGAATCTATCACTTCAAAGTCTGTATTGCATTTTTCCGACTTTGTCGTGTATTTTGTTAAATATGAGTTTAAAAACTCTGATTTTTCTCTAATAAATTGTATGTCCATATTTCCCTCCCAGGCTAATTTGATAGCCGGATTATAATCATTTATAAACCTTTCCGACTCCTTGCGAGGAAGATCGTACAATCTGCTCTTACTGCGTAAATTTTTTCTACCGACTATCGAAGTGATAACGTCTCTTAAAACGAAATTCTCAGTAACTGGCCGAGGAAAATCGAACCGACACTTTCTGTATATATTAGTTTCCGTTTTTTTGTACGCATGCAATACGAGTTATGTTTATGATTCTGATCACTTATTACCGTATCGTACAACGTTGGCGAAACATTTTCATCTGGAATTTCACACGTTACGTATTTTTGAATAAACGTAGCAACTTCTTCATCCGGCGATTTTCCTAATACTGGAGCATCTTTTATCCAAATCATACAATGCATGTGCTGGATACTTCTACGTTGATATTCCAGTCGCCAGAAGTAATGAATAACCTTTCCTATTGGATTATCGGACGAACAAATAAAATCAATCATGGCTTTGAATTTTATGCACATGAATCTAGAAGTACTTACAGGATCGTATGCGATTAGTTCGCTGATGCCTAACTTCTCTTTATCGGGATTCATATCTCGTAAATATTCACCCAAATCGGACCATTTCCATTCACTAGGACTCAAAGTCAAAAACCACGTCGCTGGACCGTAATGCAAAGTCATGCATTTTACATTATTGGACGGTTGTCGCCAAAATTGATCCGTATTTCTCAATTTTGCGAAAATACTCATTAAATTCGATTCTAATTGGTAACCTTTCAATTCGTTCAAGTATCTACCAGCAGTGTATCTCTCTCGTGGGTTAGTAACCATCATCGTATAATAGATACCACTTTTCAACTGTCGGTAGTTAGCATCATTGAGAAGGAAGAACAGATACTGCAGATTCAACCTGAATCTACTATGTTTCGACATCAATCGTGTTCTAATAAATAAATATTCCGGCAATGCAAAGTTTCTATCTTCTCGTTGTCCATTGACACCATCAGGATATAAATCAGGGAAACACATGACATCCAGATATTTATAACGATTATCCATTGGAAAATCTTCAATTTTCACCATTTGATAAAGCTTCAATGCAGATTCGTTATCGATTCTTTTCGCGTGTATTGGGTATATTGTATACTGATCGTTAATATCCGAATGTTCAGTGATTTGTGTGAGAAAAGCCGTACGTTTTAAAACGGTTTGATCATTATTATTTTTGTTATCTTATATTATTTTTTTGTTTTGCTGTACATTGTACAAATTCAATGCTGGTAATTCCTCAACCACCTCATTTATTTCGTCATTGTCGCTTTCCTCATCGACAATCCTATATTCTGTTTCCTGCAACTTATCCTTTAATAGATCATCAGATGACGCTGGAAGACGAATTTTCGAGTAATGAGGATTATTTTCTTTCAACCATTGTAAAGCCTTATACATTTTATTAATATCTACCAAATTTTCCCAAACCACTTTAGATTTCTTGGGTATACCTCGAACGAGAATGTGCAACTCGTGATTCAAATTTATAGGATCTTCCGGAGGACATACCTTATCCAATGTTTCTTGTAAAGGCAGAGGCAAATGAAATGTTTTACCTTTTCCTAAACAGAGTTCGATTATATAAGTTTCTTGATTTAAAATGTGCTATATTTAAATCATTTAATTATTTTTTTTGTTCAAGTACATTTAACAGCAAAAACTGCATATACGTAGGTATGTATTTGACTCTACTGCCATTACTTGAAACAAATACATTATTCGATATTAACAAATTGGAACTCTAAATTACGAGTAATTATTTTTCATTGTACAGACTAGGTTTAAATTTTTGAGGACCTTCTTTTGAACATGGCTTGACCTTTTCATTTTTATGATTTTTTGGAGATAGGGTGAGAGAGGACGAATGAGGGTAAGAGAAGACGAGATAGTCGAAAGAGGGTGAAAGAGAACGAAAGAGGGTGAGAAAAGACGTACGAGGGTGAAAGAGGTGAGAGAGGGTGAGAGAGGACGAAAGAGGTCGAAAGAGGGTGAGAGAGAACGAAAGAGGGTGAAAGAGGACGAAAGAGGGTGAGAGAGGACGAAAGAGTGTGAAAGAGGACGAAAGAGGGTGAGAGGACAAAAGAGGATGAGAGAGAATGAAAGAGAGTGAGAGAGGACAAAGGAGAGTGAAAGAGGACGAAAGAGGGTGAGAGAGGTCGAAAGAGGGTGAGAGAGAATGAAAGAGAATGGGAGAGGACAAAGGAGAGTGAAAGAGGACGAAAGAGGGTGAGAGGACGAAAGAGGATGAAAGAGGACGAAAGAGGGTGAAAGAGGACGAAAGGGGGTGAGAGGGAATGAAAGAGGGTGAAAGAGGGTGAGAGAGATGAAAGAGGGTGAGGAGGACGAAAGAGGGTTGAAAAAGCGAAAGATGTTGAAAGGGACGAAAGAGGGTGAAAGAGGACGAAAGAGGGTGAAAGAGGCGAAAGATGGTGAAAGAGGACGAAAGAGGGTGAAAGAGGACGAAAGAGGGTGAAAGAGGACAACAGAGGATGAGAGAGGACGAAAGAGGGTGAAAGAGGCGAAAGAAGGTGAGTTAGGGCAAAAGAGGGGTGGGAGTGGGGGTGGGGGTGGGGTGGGGCGGTATGTGGGAGGGAAAGGGGTGGGTGGAAGTTGAGGGAGGTGTGAGTGAAAGGTGTGAGAATAGATTTATATATATATATAATCCTGATGACGTCAGCGGACGCGGACAGAGAAGAAGAAGAAGACGACGTTACTTCATTTTTCATGAAAAACGTCACTTTTTGACCGCTTGTATCTCCAGAACGGCTTGACCGATTTTATTCTTTCTTGGCTCAAATTACTCGTGGCGATGCCGCCTTTCAGGTTATATTACGTGCAATTCAAAATTTTTTATATTTTAGTAGTTCTATACTTCCAAAAAATGGACTTTGATGGTGCAGGATAAGGAGACTTGTAGTGTCTTTTAAGGTCTTTTAGGGTTTGAACATGGCCGGAGACACTACCGCGTCTCCTAATATGAAAAACGCGTTTTTGACATAGCTTATTTACACTAAATACCTATATACAAAAAATTCAATTTTACCAAACAATAAAAACCAAATAATAATTAGACATAACAGTCGCAATTGAAAATTTTCGTAATTTATTTGTTTGGACCATGTCAGCAGTTTAAAACAAATTTTAATTTCTTTTTATATACTTCCCAGTCAGAAATGTATAGTTGACTCGACGTCGAATCAACGTTGAAATCTGATGTCGAAGTATAGTCAAAATTTTGATCGATTCGACGTCGATCTCGTACCAAATATCAACCAATTTTCAATTATTATTTCAACGTCGTTTCAACGTCGAAATTTGATGGTATATATATATATATAATAGTATACTTTATTATTTATTATTTTTAAGGTAAAAATACTAAAAAACAAAAAGTGCAAATCTTATTTTTCTTTTATTTATTATTATACAAAGTTGAATATAATTAAACTACATTGCATTATAAAATATATATTTATTAACAATGCGTTATATCTGTAAACTATTTCAAATTTTAACATATTATAAGAATAAAGCGTTTAGTATACCGTTTAACAAAAAATCACAAATAATTGCAGAACAGCTACGTGTTTTACTAACTTTTACACATATAATAAGTACTGAAAACTTATAAATTTGATAACGAAAGTAATATTGCACACACAAGTCCTGATGCTTGTAAACAAAAAAAAAGAAAAGTCTCTTATATTATATTAATATAGCGACAAAATAAAATTCCATTTTTTTTTTCAAAACAATCGAAAGTATAAATCATTTTTCGCAATCGCATAAAATTAGAAAAAAAATAAAACTGAAATTGATTTCACGTTACGCATAAAAAAATAGATATTTTTGTCGCAGACATTTTGTTGTTTTAAATATAGAGCAGAGCATAGTTCAGCCATAAATATGCTATAAAAATCGTCAAATGACAATAAAAAAATCGTCAAATTTTAAAACAAAAGAAACACAAAAATAATCTTATTTTTTTATTCTTTTCCCCATACTGCCGTCATCTTGGCGACGCCAAGGTGCTTGCTTTAGCCACAGTGAAGTAGCTGCATCAATCTCTGGGATTTCTGTTTCTGGCCTTTTGTCTAAAATGGCACCTAAAAATGCAATAATTTTTATATTTTATTAAATTTTATTAAATTTTTTAAATTATTTTATTATATTAAATTTTTATTTTATTTTTATTAATTAATTTATATTTATATTATTCTCTTATTTGAAACGATTCTTAGTTGGAAATAAATATAAGTTTACTTACCTTGAACAACTTCATACAGCATCAGCTTTTCGAAACATTTTTTGGATAAATGTTTACCACTTTTTAAAGTAAAGTCTGCTGCCAATGTGTTTGAAATAAGTTTCCTTAGTACTTTATATGTAGCTTCCTTAATATTGTCTTTAGGACCAATAATTTGACTCATGTAACAAATCTGGAAAAAATCAAAATTTAAGCAAAGAAAATTAAATATTAATAAATATTAAAAACAAATATACATATATATATATAATAAAAGCGATAAATATTTATTTACAGTTGCACCAGCATTATCATCTTTCGTTAAATATTTTTCAAATTTTTCTAATTCTTCCTCTGTTGTCAATGGAAGTGCTGGAAGATCTGCTGGTCTTATTATTCTTTTCTCATGTGGTAGAAGAAAGCGATTTAATCTGCATAAATTCATAGTAATCATATCTAATTTGCTACTAATTTCTTAATTTAACGAATACATCTTTTTTTCAAAAGCTTTCATATCAAAGGTCGCTTTAGACACATCTAATACACTACCTGTAAGAAAATCAAAACGTAATATTTGATGCTTTAGAAAAAATTAAAAGGTACAAAGTCATATATGTTACTTGATCTACAAGATGAACTCGGTGTAGTTACAGCTGTCACATGTGAAGTAACTGGACTCTTTTGACGTAATTCTGATGGAGAAGTGCATATTGAAGATGATGATTTTTCATCAGATATATTTGCTTCATAAATACAGTAATCTTTTGATGTACCTGGTGTCTCTATATTTATCGATCTTGCACTTGTACTTGGAGATACATCTTTATTTGATATCCTGAACTTTCATTGAAAAATCGTCCTCTCGTGGAATATTAGGATCAATATTTTCTTCTGTAGCATTATCAGAATCCATCTTTACACATGAAAACATTTCAAGACTTTATTTATACCAATAAAATTATGACTTACATCACATTGCATGTGCGACGTATAGAAATACTTACATTATCTTCTATTAAACATTTCTGTTTTTCTCTTGCAATCTCTATGATTTTTGTTTTGTTATCCGTAACTGAAGTTACCTTCCTTGCTTGACATATTTTTGTAAGTAAGAGATCCTTTTTAGATTTATGATTTTTAGAAAATGTCAACATTGCGTCATTTTTTTTTCTAATTGTTTATTTTTCTGTAATCTTTCAAATTTTTTTGTTTTGCTATCTGTGATAATATTGTTTTGATATTGTTTTACTTTATTATTTTCTGATCGAAACAAGATAAGTGGCGGAGAAGGAGCATGTTTAAATTTATATTTTTTTATAGCACTATCATCTCTATCAAAATCTGAATCATCAGAAGTTGAAATATTTTTAAATTTCTTCTTTTTTGTCACTTTTGTCGAGAGAGATTCATCACATGCAAACTGCCGCTTAATTTTTTTACGTTTACCACGACCAAATTCACACTCTGTTTCATAATTAGACGACATAATATATCCATTTCGTGCATTTCGTGCAGCCAAAAGTGTATCTAGGAAATACAATTAAAAAGACAATTAACTTTTTATAAGCAAAAAATATGCAATAAGAAACAACATACCATAACATTTTAAAACAGTAACATTATATATCGGCCATGAAGGAAGTGCATCTATTTCTTTTTTAATTGCAGTACTCTGCTCAGATTTAGGAGGCCAAGAAATTTTTGCATTTGTTTCTTCATCTAATTGTTTTAGCCATTTAATAAGACCAACTTCAAATAAAGAATCGTCTTCCTCGTCGCAATCAACATCTTCATTTATAAATTTCAAAACGACAAACTGAAAAAATAATGATTTTGATATGTAATGACTTAAAATTTTTCTAACAATAAAATACATAAAAGAATTAACTTTACATACACTTACAATTAGATACACAATATAGACGACATAATATATCAAAATTCTATTTGTAAAAGGACATAGTATGAAGTAAAGGTATGCAAACATATTCATCTTTTATAGGAATGAGCCAACATTTGGCAATAATATTATTTATAGAAAATACCAATCTTTCTTCACTTAAATCAGATACTTTGACAATGCCAAGTTCAGACGAATGCAAAGGATATGTATAAAAATCTGTAATATTTTTAAAAATATTGCCAACAAAAATTATATTATCCTGATTGCGAATGACATTTCTCAGGACTCCAATTTTACCTTCACTTGTTTTGAAGCATGAATCTCTATTATTTACTTTAAAAATAACATCATTTACTGAAATTTTTTTAAACTGTTCACCATAAATATTTTCATTGATATTTCTATGTTTTTTTGAAAAAATAATGTTATTTATATCAGAATCTAAAAGTACAACGTTTTTCTTACTTTGTTCTAGCTCACGTTTTGCTGCTTGTTGAATGGGTTTAAAACCAGATTTGAGGTTACTTTTAATCATTTTTAATTTGTTTTCATAACGAAAGGCACTAAATGTATCTAAACAACCATGATCAATACATTCTTGTGCCAAATGGCAAAGAGAGTGAACATTATATACAACAAATAATTTTCTAAATAATGTGATAGAATGTTGGATAAAAGTTCTGAGTAGAGTATTTGCATACTCGTTAAAACTTTTATAAAGAATGGGACTTGTAAGAATATAAATTCCACAATGCAATAATAGAAAGTGCTTATAAATATTTATATCAGGATGTGAAGCAAAAGCTGCTATGCCATCGTATAAACATAAACGACGGAATTCCGTTGCTTTGTAAAATGATAATTCATGTAAAGATCTGGGTTTTCGAGCAAAGTCCTGAGGACAAGAAGGGGCTAACAGAATCAGCCTATCAGATATTCTGTTTACAACAGTCCAGTGTAGTTTCCATGGACTTATCCAATTCTTCCATGCTTCTAATAATCTCTTAAACACACCTTCATATACCAAATGCATAGGCTCTAATCGAAACTGAGAGACCATTTTGGTATTAAGTTGAAGAAGAGGTGATACTCCTTTATGATGGCGAGGTTGCATTTGATTTTTAAAACTTTCGTCAGTTCTTAAAGGAGCATGTAAATCAATATACGTTTGCCTATAATCTAATCGTTCTCCCCATACTGTACATTTTTCACATGAAGCATATCCATTATGGCCTATACAACATTTTATTAATTCTCTAGCTGGAGCATCAAGAATATAATGTCTAATTAAAAAAATAAAAGTTTTTCCATATCGTACATAACCATTAGAAATTAGATTATCAACTTCAGTTACAAAATCTTGCAAAAACTCTTTCACATTATTTGGATCAGAATTCCCAAAATAAATAGCAATAATGAATGGATAATTTTTAGTTCCTACGAGATGTCCTAATATTGGCCAAAATTTTTTCTTTGAACTTCGAAAAAGAGGGAGTCCGTCAGTATTAATATCTATTTCAATTTTTTGTTTTACTTGCAAGTACTTTTTTAAATTAAGCCCATCCAAATAATTTTTAATTCCTCGATACCAAAATTGTCCTCTATTTTCAAAGTAAGTTATATGTATATCGTCATCAATTTTCAATAAAGTTTTATAACATTTAGGCAGATTATTAAATACAGGTTGAAGTTTTGCAAGTAATTCATCTATTTTTGACATAGAAATAACACCACCTGATAAAGCCCATTGACGTAAAGCTAATATTACATAATTTTCCTTTTGCTGATTATTTTCAAAAACTGTATTAACATTTTCATCTCCATTTTCACTTTTATTCGTATTTTCACTTTCATATATACTTTCATCTGTATTTTCACTCTCATCTATACCTTTGCACTCATTTATATTTTCATTTTCATCTCTATTTTCACTCTCATCTATACATTCATTTTCATCTTTATTTTCACTTTTATCTATATTTTCATCAAAACTCATGACATTAGAAAGTCTTTCGAAAGCTATATCTTCTTGAATCTCAAGTTCACTTTGAGAATAATGATTTAAATCTATTAATTCATTAAGTTGCAAATTTTCTTCTTCAGAGTCTCTTGAAATTGACAAATTGCTGTTGCTTAAACTATTGCACTTGAGTCTACATTTTGATTCTAATAATTTATTAACTCTTTTTAAAATATAATCTTGTCGCTCTTTAACTTTCAACCTTTTTATAACTATGGTCTCAGCTCTTTCCTTCCAACTACGTTTATAACACTATATATATAAACAAAAAATGAAATAATTGACATGTGATAAAAAAATGTATAAAACTATTTTCTTTGTTTATAGAAACAATAGAATAGAACTGATTATATATATCCAACTGCTACCTTTTATTATTCAAAGCAAAAATACTTTTTTACACACTTTATCTGACAAATACGTGGAAAGCAACGTACAGAATTAAAAAATTTAAATATAAAAACTCTAAATCAAAATACAGAGAAAATGTTTATTATAGGTTACGTTGTCACAAACACTTAATAACCGCGCGCCTATATTTTGTATCCTATTATTATTTTATATAAAAATAATAACAATCAAGTGTAAGAAAAATAGTACTTACCCGCTTAGTAACGTCAATATCCATTGTGATAATTAAAAATGCGATAATACACTTGTAACATAAAAGCAATATCCGCAACGTGCGCATTCACTCTAACGGATGGTCATACATATATATCATACATTACCCCCGATCTACGATCGTAGCAACGCAACTTAAGGGTATAACACACACATCGAAAGATTTTACCAATTGCCGAATCAAGCAATGTGAAAGGTGTGTTATAGCTTTTCTGACGCGCTGTTCAATCACGGGCCCGCAAGAATTTTTTAAGCGATTATAAATTGAATCATTTAGGCCAGATTCCACAACTCACTTTAATAACCGAAACTTAAATCGTTAAACCTAATCAGGATTGGTTCATAACGAGTTAGACTTCGGTTAAAGAGATCAACGTTGAATCAACGTTGCACTTCATCTGATTGGATGATTGATATTGCAGTAATATCAACTTTCTTATCGACTCAACTAGCTGTCAACCATATCGACGTTGAATCAACCTTGAATCAAGGTTACATTTCTGACTGGGTTATATTTATAAATATATAACATATTTTTATTTCAATCAGAATTATTTTTTATAATATTATAGCACTATATATATATATATATATATATATATATATATATTGTATAGCTTTTATACAAAATTATTTTTTGAAGAAAAACGTTTACAAAATTTAATTCTAGTAATTCCATTAATTTGATTTAATTATATGCACCAATAAGACAAATTTTCCATGTTCAATTTGAAATAAAATTCTTCGAAGAAACCTATACATTATACGTAAAATATAAATTTAAATTGTAAATTTACTTTTAATTTTAATTATAAGATTATATTAAATTGCGATTAATAATTAATTGTTGATTTTTGATTTTATAAAACTCTTTTCTTTACACACTGACAACATTAGAATTCAATCCTATTAGATGAATCTTGTGTGACAGTTTTCTTCTCCGCAAGAGTTCGACATTTCCTGCATAGATACCTCAAATGTGATATTCGATGTGTTAGTCGATGCATTCGTTTTGAATCCGAATCGTTTCAGTAACATCAACTTGATTTTCTTCTTCCATACAAATATGATAAACATGAAGAAATTTTGTACTACATCTAACAAGGCTCTAACAATTTCAGTGTAATAACTATATTTATATAATTGTGTTGGTAATAACAACTTTGAAATTGTATACATAAAGCAATTTATACCCATAATGATAAACAACACGGTAAATAACTTTATATATAGATTTAACCTGCAAACAAGTATATATTAATATTTGGTCATTTTTCAATAAAAATAATAAATTCTATCTACCAAATTATTAAGTTGAAAAATGATGGAATCAATTGCAATTCTTAAAAGGAGGAAATGAGAAAAAGATTTTTATAGAAATATTTCAAAAATGTAATTTTTTAATGTAATAAATATATATTTATTTATATTGTCTCCTTACGACATTTCGAGTATTACAGATTTTTTAAAAAGACTCAATGCAAGTTACAGAAATACATGTTTTTTTTCTCTTATAGATTTATTACACAATAGAAAATGTAAAAAAAAAGTATAAGCACAGTAATATATATATATATATATATATATATATCTTTTGCAATTATAATTTTCTCCCCCTTTTACCAGGAATGCGAATCAAGCAAGCATGTGATGTCGGCAGAGATATTGACAAAAATATATCTGCAGAAATCTCATTAACATAATAAAAAATTATCACAAAGTGACGCAAAATGTGAGAATACACACCATTTCTTATTGTCATTAAATTGCTTGCTTTCCGAATCTGTTAGACTGAAGTTTGTATCCTCTTCGTAACGTTTAATGTTCCTTGCCGCACAGATGGATAAGCAAATGCTACTAATAATACAGACAGTTTTGATCCAGTAATAATACAATGCAAGTGCTTTCAAATCTGTAAGTATGATATCTTATATACTATTACATATTTTTAAAAAGCGTAGCATTTAATAAAGTTATTTGAGACGTACGATTCGCAGAGTACCAGCAAAATCCTATTTTGAATTCTGGTCTCAAAATATATGGCAAATACTCGGAAACATAATGCACAACGATGACACAAACAATTGCAAGTACAAACGAACATCCGTACGCAAAAATAGCATAATACACCAACTTTTTTTTTCTGATTGTCTGCTGTTTCTTTTTAACAAAGAGAATCTCCTGCAAAAATTTAGATATATATTATATTTAATTATATAAGTGTAGATATAAACTAATATAAAGGAAATCTCAATGTAAAATGTTAATATTTGACTTTGATCGAAGCTTTCTCGAAAACCCATTCTACACAATTATAAAAGTTTATTTATATAATACGACATGTAACACTCAATTATGATGAGAAATATAACATTGTATATCATTTAGAAACTATTATATATTTACATAGATATTCTACAGACAAAGATAATTTAAATTTTTATTAAGTTTTTAGGGGCAAAATATATATTTATGTTAAAAAATTATTTTGTATTACTTTATTATACATAAAAAAGATTAACGCAATATATATATCAAGCTTGTAAAATGGAAAAAAATTTTCCAGAAACGTTTGTTTTATTATTGTGAATTAGATTTTGTTGTAATATTTTATAAATATTTTATAAATTAAATATATAATGTTTATTATCTAATATATGCCATTTCTAATTCCAGAAAATTTACGTTATCTTGACAAAATTTTTGATATACTTCATACTATAAAACAATTATGTAAAAACAAATTAAAATCAGGAGCTAAGAACTAAAGTAAAATATAAAATATTTGGTTATTTACCTGAATGTCCGCCACATATTAAAGCTCATAATACTTAGCTAGAAGTAACCCGATAGAAGACAAAGATATCCTATAAAGTCTAAAAAATGAATAGAAATAAAAACTACAATAATAAATATCATTTTCATCATTAATCGCGCGTGAAAATAGAAATAATCGAAAATTTGACGTTTTTTATTCTTCCCTTTAAAACCGATTTACTACATTCTGCATCATTAGTTTATAACAATATTTATTTATTATTATGAATACTACCGATATTAATTAAATAATATTTCAAGACGTAACACTGCAATATTCTAAAATGCAAATTTTATATATATATATATATATATATATGAAAGAAAATGTTTCATATCCCGTCTGTATTACAATTGGTACAGTATATCTAACAATAAATTACATAAATATATAAAATTAATGCATAGAACATATTTGTAAAGCATAATGTATATCCGCATATTAGTATATATAACTTCTTCATTCTTATATATATATATATATATATATATTCTTCATTCTTTGAATATATATATATATATATATATATATATATATATCAAAGAATGAAGAAGTTATATATACTAATATGCGGATATACATTATGCTTTACAAATATGTTCTATGCATTAATTTTATATATTTATGTAATTTATTGTTAGATATACTGTACCAATTGTAATACAGACGGGATATGAAACATTTTCTTTCATATTTGAAAGTCTCACAATATCAAACATCAATGCGATGGATGTAACTGCACTGTAATTGCGCAACATGAAGCCGTGTTCATTTCGGAGTCCTGGTAATATGGAATACACTAGAAATACTGCCACCAACAATAATATACACACTAATAGCAAGCTGGAATATATATTTAATACACGAGTTATCCAACTGTACTCAGGCGTGTACTTCAAAGCGTTCCTTTTAAGTTCCATATACTGTTCTGAACTGAAAATCGCTTCAAATCTACGCTCTCTTTCCAAGAAGACGCTGAGGCAATATGATGTCGATTTAAATAATGTTTCATAATAAGGTACATAAAAATTTCCAAGAAGACGCTGAGGCAATATGATGTCGATTTAAATAATGTTTCATAATAAGGTACATAAAAAGAACCATTGGCAAAAATTTTATAATCGTACTGATAACCGATGGGTACCACGTAACATTGCGATTCTAAGCACTTATTGTAGACGGTTAACTGAAAGAATTCGTTTACTCGCCCACTTTCGTTGTGCGTTGAATCGTTTGTGTATTCGTATACATTCGGAAAAACATATTTCATTTCTTCTGGAATACATTTGGTGTCATTCCATCTCATGATATTGCCAAGAGGACAGCAGAACTGAATACAAATTATATTATGACAAGTTTTGTATGAGACGATGTTACTTTTATTACTGTGACGTAGAGTTTTCTTTATGATTGACATTTGTCGAATTGTTGTAAGAGTATTTCAATATTTTGTCATCATTTTCTTCGTTGTAAGCAAAACACCTTCTTAATTTATGTAGTATCGAATCAACATCTTCGCGATCGATATTCGTGGAAATAGTGCTAAATTCATATTCCATTTTATTATATTGCGTATCGTCGGTAAACCTTTTATACAAATCATATCGCAGTGGTTTTATCTCGTCGCTATAAATTCTTGTAAAATTCGCATATATCTCGTATCGTACTGTCAAATTATGACCTTCATCTTCGTTGTTGGTGTAATTTTGCTGAGATTTCGATGACGAAATGATAAGGAGAAAAAGCCCGCAACACAGAAAAGTAAAATTTTGTACAAACATTATTTCATAAATAGATACATTAGAAGAATTAGATAATTAAATCAGTCTAACCTGTTAGTACACTACTTCTTATATAAATTTTAATTTTTAATTATTAAAAAATCTATATTAATTTTGTGCCTACTTAAGCTTTTGTATTAATTAAATGAAAGGTATGTGTTATTAAGTGCGTAATGTACACATATAATAGAATTAAATTATCTTTTCCATTTTGTATTTCCCTAGAAAATTTGAAAATGTTGATCTGATTTTATTCTTACACTGTAAATGTTGACAACTACGCGGTTAATTTTTAATTATCTTATTATATTTAGTAAAACATATAATGTATTATACTAATTAAATGCTCTTTAATTCAAATAGAGTATTACACATATAAAAGGCTAATAAGAGCAGCAGTAATAATATGAAGGTTGTAAAACTAATTTATTACATTTAATCAATATCACTGATATAAACAAAACAGTTTAAAATTATAAAAATAGACTCGAAAGTTGACACAAATAAGAAGGCAAACGTTTCGATCCAATTTTTCGGATTTTCTTCAGCGCAGTATAAAGAGCAAAATTAACATCAACAAAGTCTAAATGTTTTTAACGTATAAATGTCTAATAAACATATTTAAACGCTGTTACATCAGTAAACGAAATAAAACGTCGTAAGATTAATATGACTCTCGCTAAGCTATCAAGAGACACGGTAGTGTCTCGCGACCAGTTAAGGGCGTAGCGGAGACACCGTGTATCTTAACGCGAGTCGGACATTTGAGTCTTTATAATATTTCGAATCCTCAATAATGGCTGAAGCAATCGAGTTTATACTAGACTTAATCGATAGATTGAGTTCGAATTATATAATAAAAGTGTCTTTATTTCTGCTCTACGTGATTTGTAAGCAGAG